TATGTATCTTCTTAGTTTAGAGCAGGCACTCATTTTTACTTTCACTTTTGGTCTATCTTCTGCTATAACCAATAGTGCTGCAGCAAATATTTCATGACTAAGTGTCTGACTTTAGAGATCTTACCTCTAATTGACAAAATAAGTGATTACTACATAAAAAAAACAGTTGTTGCTTATTTTTAAATTTTGATATTGGCATTGTGAAGGGCAAGATTAAAGGATTTGAAAGGCCAGGAAAGCGAAAGCAATCAACTAGAGGATATTTTGCTGGTACCTAGTAAAGAACCATGGAGTGATGGACATGTGATAAATTATCAGCAAAATACCATTCTTTTTCTTCTTGGGTCACCAATGTGTGACAGCCAGCCACAAAACTCAGCCATAAATGAGATATGACTATTCTCCAAGCTACCTAAGTTTAAAAGAAATGGATACCCATTTATTCTTTATATTATTTCTTATCTTCGTAGCCTGTAGTCATGTGCCACGTAACAACGTTTTGGTCAACAAGGGACAGCATATACAACAGTGGTCCCATAAGATTAGTAACATATAGCCTGGGTGTGTAGTAGGCTGTACCATCTAGGTTTGTACTGTAGAGGAGGAAGAAATTTTCACTACCTCCTAAGTTCTTCTGGCTGGTCTAAGAATTAAATTGACATAAGAGAGATTAACAGGGTATTCCGGCCCAGTGGAATAGTGGTTAAGTTCGCATGCTCCGCTTTGGTGGCCTGGGGTTCGCAGGTTTGAATCCCAGGCGCGGACCGACGTACTGCTCATCAAGCCGTTCTGTGGCAGCATCCCACATACAAAATAGAGGAAGATGGGCACAGGTGTTAGCTCAGAGCCAATCTTCCTCAGCAAAAAGAGGAGGATTGGCAACAGATGTTAGCTCAGGACCAATCTTCCTCACTAAAAAAAAAAAAAATAGGGCCGGCCCTGTGGCTTGGTGGTTAAGTGCGCGTTCTGCAATGCTGGTGGCCCGGGTTCGGATCCCGGGTGCGCATCAAGGCACCACTTCTCCGTCCATCCTGAGGCCGAGTCCCACATACAGCAACTAGAAGGATGTGCATCTATGACATGCAACTATCTACTGGGGCTTTGGGGGGAAAAAAATAAAATAAATAAAATCTTTAAAAAAAAATAAATAAAAAAAAAAATAAAACAACAGGAGAAAACGAAACAAGTTTAATAATGTACACATGGGAAAAACCCAGGAAAACCAAGTAACTCACCAAAATGGCCAAAGCCCTCACCTTAAATACTATCATCAGCTTAAGACAAAAGAAGATGTTGGGGGTGGGGAGAGTTAGGGACTTCAAAGGAAAGGAAGGCAATTCACAGGTAGGTGAAAAGGAGGAAACGTTTCCAAATAAGTGTTTGGCCACAAAGAAACAGAACAACACAGAAGGGAGCCCAAGAAAAAGGTTTTTCTAGGTTCCTCTGTCTACCACCTAGTTCATGTTATTAAGTTGATAGCTTGCTTCCTGAGACAGGTTCTTTTAATCTGAATTCTTTTAGGCAGTTAAGGGGGAGGTAACAAGAAAAACTGTTTGTTTCTTAAAATAACCAGCCTAAAATAATCCTTATGTTAAAGAGACACATTTTGGGGTGGCAAATTTTGTTCCCCTTCAGTATGCTCTATGATGTTTGAACAACAATGAAATCACCTAACAACACATTTCTCAGAATGTGTCCCCATCATTAAGCAATGCATAACTATATTAAACTCCTAGGGAGCAAAGTATGTTTTTGTATGATTTATACAACATATTGGACATTGATGCTCACTAAAAATAAAACTGGTTGTCATCTTTTAAGCACAAAGCTATTGATACATATGTGATAGATATCCCCAGTTTATAATTGTGTGAAATTAAAGTCATGGGAGTGAGTCATTTTCTGAAGGTCATAGATAGGATAAGGTCCTAGACCAGATTATATTCTTCCCTTCGGCTCTTTCCCCCCCCTTCTCTGTCCTCAAAAGTTGGTAGTTGAAAAGAAAATTAATTAGAATACCTTCTATTGTTTTCACTCTAATAACTGCTTTGTTTCATGTGGTAGTAAAATCAACAGCAGAGAGCCAGCCCTGGTGGTCTGTCGAGGTCTGGGTTCATTTCCTGGTCATGGAACCACACCACCCATCTGTCAGTTGTCATACTGTGGCGGCAGCTCACACAGAGAACTAAAAACTAACAACTAGGATACACAACCATGCACTGAAGGTTTAAAAAAAAAAATCGACAGCAGAATGTTATGTAAATTACCACAGTTGTCCAAATCTGAGGATTTGTGAACTGGGTTTTCTTTTTCATAAGCTGACAGTGGGAAGTTGTGTTGTATTTGTCAAAAACAGAGACATATTTTCCCCACTTAGACTTTTTAAAAGGGAAAATAATGTCCACAAGTTAAAATCTAAGCCCCTTGAAGGCAGGGACTTTGTCTTATTTTCTCTTATATCTCTGGCACCTATACCTGGTACATTGGATCTCAATAAATCTTTGTTGAACGCTCTCTTTCTCTTCTGTAAACTAGAATCTTGTCAGAATGGTCTTTTTTTTTTTTTTTTTTTTTACTAATTCTTCTGTTTTCATGAATACTATTTCATTAGCTTTCTCTTACATGACTTTCATAATTAGAAGTGGAAAACACACAGAGTACACTTTGTTCTTTTAAGTTATGATTCAATATCTGTAATTGTGAAACATAAACTTATTAAGAGATATTTAAGACCTAGAAAAGGATGAAGGAGCAGTTACTGTTACTGACAGGAAGCACCAGACCAGTTAGACAACATGCTCATTAAGTCATCAAATAACTTAAATTACGTTTTTTTTTAATGAGAGAACAGTATGGTTAGAGCCTCTCAGCCCTCCTCTAACGCTTTAAACAGATAAGTTGTGGGGTATTAGCACTGTGACATAATTAGCGGGAAGACCAATCACCTTTCCTAGTCATGCTTAATTTACATACTATAATCTTATTGGTTAAATTTCAAAAGTTTTTTTTGTTTTTTGTTTTTTGTTTTTTGTTTTTTTTTTTGGTGAGGAGGATTGGCCCTCAGCTAACATCTGTGCCAGTCTTCCTCTATTTTGTATGTGGGATGCTGCCACAGCATGGCTTGAGGAGTGGTCCAAACCTGCAAACCCCGGGGCACCGAAGTGGAGCACACAAACTTAACCACTATGCCACTGGGCCAGCCCGATCAAAAGTTTCCTTTTTAATTGAAAATAAAATGGAATCTGATTTTTGTTTTTATAGCTATATCACTATTCAACATACTGATGTTTTTAGGGGGACATTCCTTTCAATAATAGATTACCTCCAAATATAATTGATTGTAAATATAAAATGCCACATAAAGACTAAATTAGCCATCAATGTAGCAAGTTAAAGTAAACTAGTACAATAGTCATATTTAACAAATTAAGGAATAAAATAAATTTTGAACTAATTTAGAGGCTACTAATTAAACCAACAGCAAATCTATAATTTAATGTTAGAGGAGGCTCCACCTACACTATACAAATAATTAGATTGCTTACTAAATATAAAATTAACTTGAACATCCGACCCCTGCCTATTTCTACAATAATCAAATTTTTACTTGAAAATACAACAGAATAGAAAGGCAGATTTTTTTTCTCTCACTTTAAACAATATACAGAGAACATTAGAAATGGAAACTAAGAATTTTGTGAGTTTTTTAAATCTTAGATTTTGAACAGCAGGTTCAAAGGTCTGCTTACTTTTTAAATGATTCAAGCTCTCCGTAGGATATTAAAACTTAATATAGGGGCCGGCCCTGTGGCATAGCGGTCAAGTGCACGTGCTCTGCTGCTGGCGGCCGGTTCGGATCCTGGGCGCGCACCAACACACTGCTTGTCAGGCCATGCAGTGGCAGCGTCCCACATAAAGTGGAGGAAGATCAGCACGGATGTTAGCTCAGGGCCAGTCTTCCTCAGCAAAAAGGGGAGGATTGGCATAGATGTTAGCTCAGGGCTAATCTTCCTCACACACACACAGAAAATAATTAAAAGAAATATATATAGCCATAGTTTTATTACGTTAGAATAGGCACTTGATGACTTTCTCACTAGTTCTCTTTCCCCTTAACATGGAGATGAAGCATGCCTGATATGGCCACTGCCTGCCTCTCGAGCTCATTAGTCATGCTCCCGTTTCTGAGCTCCAGCCTTTCAGTTCCAAGATGTGCTAGGTTCCCTCCCAACTCAGGACCTTTGCTGAGGGATTCATCCTTCCTAGATTGCTCTCTGCTGTGTACTCCCTCCCTTACCTGCACCTCCTCCCTGCCCCCACACTCCTGACACATGAATATTAACTCTTCATGCCATCCATCAGCTCTAGCTCAGAAAAATACCATGTGTGGGGAAAACTTTGAGTCAGCTAGGTCACTTCTTGATTTAACACTCATGGCAACCTATACTTCATGACTTAACACAGTTTATAACAGTTGTTTAATGTGTTTCCCCACTAGATCGCAAGCTCTAAAATATCAGGAAACTTGCTTATCATCCCTAGCAGAGTAGGGTAAAAAAAATGAACTAGACACAAGGCAAAACTATCGTCTCGGGGCCGGCCCGGTGGCTTAGCAGTTAAGTTCAGGCATTCCATTTCGGAGGCCTGAGGTTCGCCGGTTCAGATCCTGGGTGCAGACCTACTCACCGCTTATCAAGCTAAGCTAAGACAGTGTCCCACACAGAAAAGCTACAACTCTACAACTATGATACACAACTATGTACTGGGACTTTGGGGAGAAAAAAAAAAAGAGATTGGCAACAGATGTTAGTGCAGGGCCAATCTTCCTAAAAAAAACTATTGTCTCATAATTACTAAGGGTGTAAACTACATCATACAATTCAGTCTATTCTTTGGAGCACTTAACTGTTTTCTGACTTGTAATATACTATACTTACTTATACTTAGGCTTTTTTAAAAGATTAAAATTGAGCAGTAGATAAGTATTGACAATTTGATAATTCACACTGAGGTGTTTTAACATAAATTCTCTATTATAAAAGTAATACATACAAAAAAATACAGAATGGTGTAAAGTGACATAAGATGTAAAGTAAAAATCCCCTCCCCACCCTCCAATCTTCCAGTGTCACAACTATAAACAACTTTCTTTAAAATACTTTTAATAAATATCTAACAAGTTGCAAGGCTCTTTTTCTTCTCGATTGGTTTGTTTTATATAGTATTGAGATACGTTAAAATATTGAGCATCACTGTTATAGAGAAGGATTGAAACTCTTATAGAGTTGATACTGAGTTGCCAAAAGCCCATTTTTTTCACATTCAGTATTTACTCTTCCTTACTAAAATAATATTGCTCACACACACTACCCCTATTGATCACCAAAATTTTATAGTCTTATCTTGCAAGTGTAGCACATATATAACTAAACAATTGGCAAACATATAGAGATTGAGCACAAATAAGGCCCACAAGGTACTGCTGTGTAATGTATCTACCAACAGGTTGACCAGGCCAGTTGTTATATTTGACAGCAAGAAAAAAATTAACTGGTTTCTGTTCATAGCTGTGATTAAACAAAGACTGGGTTCCTTTCTTTCAGCTTCAGAGACTAGAGATTCTGAATGCTTTTTATTTGTAGCAGGTGACTGGATAAGTTTCCAAGAACATGGTACTTGAGCCCCTTTAATTAGAAATTTGGCAAAACTCAAAATTATATCACCCAGTAATAAACTACTAACAAGGATCAGGCTAGAAGCAACTATCCAAATACAAAAGGCTAGATTGGCCATTCTTCGAGATGCTACTTCTACATTTACCTGAACTATGTACAGAGATATGAAGAGGCTAATAGCTGTCAGTAGAATACAATATGCTACTTTTATCCAGTCTTTGATATGTGATCTTTTTTTAAGCACATATGCTCCTGTTTGCACACCAGCCATGTATATTGCCACATACCCCAAGGTAGAGATTATTCCTTCTCGGTTGGCATTTAATAAACCAACCCTTGTGCCACTGCCATCAGTGCCATACAAAATTAACTTTTTCAGTGGGGTAAAGTCAAGGGCTAGCTGGTATAATACAGTAATGCTGATGGCCACAATCCAGGATTTATTTAGGGGAAAAATAATCAAAAGCAGTGATGTTATCAATTTCACAACTATTAAGGTAAAGAAAAAGTTCCAGTGAACTCCATACTCAGTTAAATGTTCCTGATAGCCTATGGATTTTATAATGACTAATCGTCCTATTCCTAAGAAGGCTAATGGCCAAACAGAATACAATGACTTTGTAAGATGATAAAATCTGGACCCTTTTGTGTATTTTCTCCTAACCTCTGGACAAACCACTGCAGTCCCAAAAACAAAGCCTCCTACTCCAAAATCCATTGCTCCTGTCCCATAGAGCTCAGTTTTGGCAAATCTTCTGGGAAAAAGTGGGAAGTCCACAGCCAAAATGGCAATAGCAGTAAAAGCACTGTTAATTACACGAAAGCAAGAGATGGCTGGAATGTAATCTGATTCTAGACTGATTTTCAAGAATTTTTGAAGGATTTTCTGGACAGGCATTCTGGCGCAGCAAGTTCTCCTGCAATATATTTGATAGAACAGTCCTGCCCCCAAGATGATTGCAGCAAGGTGCTCAAGGAGGATAAATGAAGACAAAATGGTCAGAGTGGCCACCAGGGGAACTATTAGGATAACAAAGTCAATGAAGAATCTAGTTCCCCAGGTATGTGAAGAAAACAAGTGCTGTGAGAGAACGAGCAGGAGCCCTCTGCACAGGACACACAGTACAGGCAAGCACAAGCCCTGGGTGATTTCCAGCACGCTGGTTCCATTGTGATTACTGACAAAAGCTTCCTTCATCTGCTTCTGAGACATTTTTTTCTTCTTCCTGTGAAAACAAGAGCAAAGGAGTGCATTTGTGCAACCTTCTTGTTGAATTGGCATGTATGTGTACCTGACTTGATTTTACTCTTATTCCTAGATTTCAGAGCAGAATTCTAGGCCCTAATGATTTCAAATCTGAGCAGAACCTAGGACTTGTGATTCCCCTTCCAAGGATTGTGGGAAGAAGCCTAGCACTAACACATTTAGGATAAGAATGTCATACTAATAGTATGAAATTATTGGTTAAAAATCTTTAGAATAGTCTCAGTGTAAGGCAGACTCTCAAAGTGAATTTGGGATATTAACTCTCAGAATGCAACCAGTCGGATAGGAATTCCTACTAGGGAGCATAGTAGATGTCGTGAAGATTATGAGTACACCTAACTAATGACTTCAGGTCAAATCCGAGAAGGAAGGGAGAAAAGGGCAAGGAGAGAGAAGGCATTTAAGTACACTTTGGAGTTGGTTGCCTTGATTTCTGTTCAGAGCCTCTCTGAACCTATTGTCTCTAGTACAAAATGCGAGTCCTCCAGCGATCTCCTGAGCCCCAGGCTGTTCCTGACCTCATGTGCAGACAACCACATTTTCAGGTTAAGGTGTAGGTAGGCGGAATGGGCGTACTAGTGTTAGTTGTTTTAAAGGGATTTAAAACACCTCTCTGCCACATATCAATGTCTGACAAGTGGCACACAGGAAGAACACATTTGTTGGCCAAACAAGAACCATCCTGAACAAATGAATGCATGCACGCATGGTGGCCTGTTTGGGCCCAGCAACAATACCTCACGTAACCGATCCGAATCGGCTGGCCTTTAAAAATAAGAGTCCTTTTCCTGACAGACACGCGCCAGGGCCGCGCCGGGCCCTATACCTCACGTGCTCCTGGTGGTCCCGGCGCCCCCCCCCGGCCCCTCCGCCGGGGCAAGGGGCAGTCAACGCGGGCCGTGCAGCCCGTGCTCCCACCGCACCCGCAAGGCCACGCGGGAGCACCAGCTTCCGCCTTCCGAGCGGCGCTTCCGGCCGACGCGGGGCTGCCTGCGCTTCCGGGCCGGCCAACTCCGCGCGGCCCCCGCCCAGGATGGTGACCGTTTCCCGCGCACATACTTCTCTCTCAGGGGCTCGCCCAGCCCAGGTCCTCTCGGGTCGTGGCCGTGGCCGTGGGCCGGCCCGTCAGAGGGGCCGGAGCGGAAACGGCGCGTCGCGCGCCTCCTCCCTGCCCCTCAGACCCCACGGCGATGCCCTGTCAGAGCGGTGGGGTCAAAGGGCCCGGCGCAACCTTTCGGCCACGGCGTCCCTTACTGGAAGCCCTCACGGCCCTGTGGGGGCCCGGAGGCCCAGGAAACCCGGCATCCCGCGCCTCTCGCGTCACAACACGAGAGGCTTCCCTTTCACCCCCACCTTACCCCAGGTTCGCAAAACACTTCGTCCCAGATGGACCCCCAACTCCGGACCCCGGCGTCCCTGGCGGGCCACGTGCGCCCCGCCCCGAGGGAGGAGCCAGCCGGCTCCCGGCCCCTGGGCCAGAGCGGCAGCCGACCCGGTGTGATCCGGCGGTGCCTGCTTTCCCTCCACCCCCGGCTCGCACCCGCCCCCTTCTCCTCCCTCCCCTCTCCGGCCTCTTCCCGCCGCCTCGCCCGGCCCGCCCGCCTTTCCAGTCGGGCACGGTGGGCGCCGCACGCTCGGCGGCTCAGGCCGTGGGACCGGTGAGTGCCACCCCAGCCCAGGTCCGAAGCCCTTCGCGACGCCGAAGGGCCAGGGGAGGCAGGTTTGCCCCCGGAGCGCTGAGGAAGAAGGGGGTGTCTCCCCCTCCCCTTTCCAAAGTGCCGTTTCTCTTCCCTTTTCCCTTTGACTGTCTCTTATCCCAGGACAAGGACCTTTCACGGTCACCCTCCACCTTGCCGGCAGGGGGCGGCCCGAGGTGGGGGAAAGGTCCCGGCTCCTGCACCTCTCCTCGCCCTACCTAGGGACAGGGGAGGGGGCGGCTGGCCCCGGGAGGCGTCAGGGCAGCCGCGCCCTTGGCTGGGGTCACGTTCACCTTCCCGGGAAGGACACACTCTCCCTGTGCCAGGTGCTTCTGGAGTGGCATCCCAGCCCTGGGCCCGGCAGGCACCTCGCCGAAACAGGGAGTCCCCGGTTCCCGCCGGGAACCTGGGGGCGGGGCCGGCTGGGCTCCCAGGACCCTTACTCGGCTCTTCTCGTCTGCCCTCCCACTGTCCTCCAAGCCAAGAAAGAACCTGAGGTTGAGGAGGAGGAGGAGCTGGTGATCAGGTTGCCGCTTGCCTTGCCTTACCTCGTTGTTTCATCTATTCATTACCATCTCCCTTCTGCCCACAGTGGTCACACCCTTTCCAGAAATTTTTGGCTGGTAACCGCGAAGCCGACGGGAAGCAAGAGCTGGGCGAGCTGGAGAAAACCGCTCTAACTGACTTGACTGTCTGGGAGCCGACGCTGCATCGTAATAACCAATATTTGCAAAGCGTTCTCAGAGGTACTATCTCCTCTGATCCTTAACTCAGCATTGTGAGGTCTGGATATTGGTATTCTTTTTTGCAAACGAGGAAACGAAATAGGGCTTAAGAGAGCTTTTCTGAGCTGTGTTCTAGATCTTGTGGGCTTTGGATTCTAACCCCTACAAGCTGTTGTGCTCTCCCTCTGGTCCTTTTAACATGAGCCTCCAGTTGAGAGAGCTTTTGTTCTCCTTGAGTCTCCGGAGCCCTCTACATAGTTGTCCCTTGGGTGGAGTACAGTCGGTGTCCAGGGTGAATGTGAACACAGTCCTGATGCCCTTCTTTGCTTGAATTGTCCTTTTTCCAGTTTCCATGGAAGTCCCTATCCCTGAGTTCTTTCAAAGACTAGATGTATTCAGAGCCTTGAGAAAGTCTCTACCAGGGTTAATCCCTCCTCCTCATCCTTCCTTGCTGGGGAGGCTAGAGGCCTGGGAAATTTCAAGTCTGAGGGTCACTTACAGTTTTTTAGACATTGGCCTAGGCCCAGCCTCACAACATTCCCTCTCAGACGGATTCCCCTCCTCTGAAATCCTTGCCTTATTGAAGTTGACACTGACTGTTCCACCTGACTAGTGCCCCCAAGTGGATTATCCATCCTTAGTAGGAGTACTAACAATATTCCGCCTCTGAGTGAATATTCAGATTGTACTTTGTGGGGTGCTTTCAATCTATGACCTCGTTGACCTTCACAACAACTCCTCGTGAGGTAGATTTTTCTATCCGCATTTTCAAGGTGAGGAATCAAGGTGGCCAGGAAGGTGATGACTTACCAGTGAATGATTGAGCTGTGATTTCTCTCCCACACAACAGCTTTCCTGGAGCATCAAGAGTTGACTCCAGCCTCCCTGCCCCACCACCTACTGGCTGTACTAAAATAGGATACTTCTGTCTAGTGGAGAGGCACGAGGTTTCTCTGTCTCCCAGTCATCCTCCACGGCACACTGACCCAGAAGATTTGCAGCCCCACCCCAAACCCCTGTAGTAAAACTGTCCCAGAAGGAGCCCAGGGAGCCTCTAGAGGTTCTCGTAAAAGTTTCCCCTGTTCTCTAATTGGCAGAGAACAGGACAGACTCTCCTTCTGCCCAGGCTCGCCCTGGTTCTCATTTTGTTTCCTCCTGCTTGGTGGGAGGAGCAGGAGAGAGTCACCTTGGAGAAGCCCTCACCTGTGTGTGGCCCTTGTCTTCTCTCTCATGCCACAGGCTTGGGGGTGACTTGTCTCGGATTCCTCCAGAACTGAGTTCTTTGCTGGACCCATGCTTCAGCCTGTGCCCCCATGACCAGGTGGATAGCACTCCTTGTGCCGGTGACCCAGAACCCTGGCTGACCACGTTGAAGGAGGATGCTCCAGCAGGTAAAACCTCACCCTTAGATAGCCCAGGCCCTCAAGTGCCTAGGCACCTTCCCATCTTGCACTTGACTGAATGAAGATTCCACTGCCTTGACCTGGAAGGAAGGGAAAGACCCCTTAAAGGTCTTTCTTCTTTTCTCTCTTCAGATAGTCTAATGCCTTTCACCTGTCGTCAAGAAGCTCTTCCTGATGCCTAATTTTAATCTCTTGTAGTTTTAGCTCTTTTCCCTGGGATGGGTAAGACAGGAGGAGTAAGGGAATCCTTAGGGCACTTTGGTGACCTTACAAACCTAAACCAGTGAGGGAATCCTGAGAGGTGTCCCTGCCAGCCTGAATTGTTGAGGCACAGTGGAAGCCTGGGGCTTCCAAGAGGAGGTGTTCCTTGAAGCTGAGCCTTAAAGTATAAGTAGGAATTACCCGAGTGGAGAAGGAAAATAAGCAGTCCAGGCAGAGGTCAGCCTGTGCAGAAATGTGGGAGAAGATGACCTATGTGGAAATATAGAAGGATTCTGATGAATGGATCATGGGGTGCATGGGGGGTTGCTATTGGGACATGAAACCTGCCCTTACTTCGGATCTCTGCCTCTCTGAAAAGGCTATTATGGCCGCAGGCCTGTAGAATTCCAAATCACCCTTCGCTGTGGAGCCCGATCTCATACCCATTACCATCCTTCACATGCAGCTCTTGGTCCAGAGAATACCAGTAGATGTTTGGTGAATTTTTGTTTACTAAGCATTGCCAGACACTGGGCTGAGGCAGATATTTAAGACAATACCTGTCCTCAAGGAGCTCACAGTCGAGTGGAGTCCTAAGCAAGTAAGTGCCTGAGACTCAACAGGATGACTGAGTGTGAGGCCAGCCAGCCTCAAGGGAGCTATGGTAGACACTGCTGCTTGACCTTTTTCCAGCCTTTTGGATCCTGAAACAGGCTTGGAGGCTGGAGAAAAGCAAGCAGGCCAGTTATCTCCTCTGGGCTTTCTTATTGTTTGTTTTTAACTTGTTTTTTTCTTATTAAAAAAGCAGTAATGTTCATCATAACCATACTAGCAGCTGCTCTGTGTGAACCTTTACTCTGTAGTAGGCACAATGCTAAGTATTTTACACATATAATTTTTTTAGTCCTCAAGAAAGATACAGTATTGCATATACAGTGCTGTTATATCCCCATTTTGGAGATAAAACTCAGGTTAAGTGACTTCTTCAAGGTCACTTTTCATTATAAGCAATGTGGAAAATATAGATAAGCAAAAAGCACATTAAAATTACCCATAATTGTGTTACCCAGAGATAACCAACATTTTAGAGAATATCCTAGATTTTTTCCTTAATTATATATTTTTAAAACATTTAAAGAGGGCCGGCCCTGTGGCTTAGCGGTTGAGTGCGCGCGCTCCGCTGCTGGCGGTCCGGGTTCGGATCCCAGGTGCGCACTGATGCACTGCTTCTCCGGCCTGGCCACGTCCCACGTATAGCAGCTAGAGGGTTGTGCAGCTATGACATACAACTATCTACTGGGGCTTTGGGGGGAAAATTAAAAAAAAAAAAAAAAAACATTTAAAGATATCATACTTTTTGTAACCTGCTTTATTCCCTTGTAAGGATGTACTGTAATTTAAGCTATCTACTATTTGGACATTTGGGTTGTTTTCAATTTTCTTACAATAATAAATGCCTCTGTATACACTCAACATTCTTATGACATTTACATAGGATCATTTTCCTGAAGTAGAATTGCAGGCTTAAGGGACATGTGTAGTTTTAAGGCTCTTGATATATTTTTGCCTAATTAGAAGAGCCACTTTTATTTATTTATTTATTTATTTATTTTGTGAGGAAGATCAGCCCTGAGCTAACATCCATGCTAATCTTCTTTTTGCTGAGGAAGACTGGCTCTGAGCTAACATCTATTGCCAATCCTCCTCCTTTTTTTTTTTTTTTCCCCAAAGCCCCAGTAGATAGTTGTACGTCATAGTTGCACATCCTTCTAGTTGCTGTATGTGGGACGCGGCCTCAGCATGGCCGGAGAAGCGGTGCGTCAGTGCACGCCCGGGATCCGAACCCAGGCCGCCAGTAGCGGAGCGCGCTCACTTAACTGCTAAGCCACGGGGCTGGCCGCAGAAGAGCCACTTTTAAAAGAATAATAATAGCTAACTTTGGGGGCATATACTAGGTGCCTTTTCTAAATTCTTTATGTGCTTATTAGTATCTATGAGGTAGGTACTACCACCATTCACATTTTACAGATGAGGAAAATTGAGGCACAAAGAGATTAAGAAACTTATGTAAAATTATACAACTAGTAAGTGATAGAATCAGGATTGACACCTAGGCAATCTAGCTTTGAAGTCCAGACTCTTGACCATTATACTCAGCTATCTCTCTGATTGGATCAGAGCTCTTCATAAATTATGGCTGGGTTTGTGAGAAATTTTTTTTCCCTAGAGCAGACAGAGTTGCATGAATCCAGCCATGCTCTGATCTCAGCACTTATCTAGGAAGCCAAGAGCCTGCCTTCTGCGTTATGGTGGGCTCAAGTTCAGCGAACAGGCAACATCTTTGGAAAGAAACTTGTTTCTGGGCCTCTCAGATAACACTTGCCACCATGACTTGAGAGGTTTCAACTTTTAGGGTTCACTAGACTCACTAGAAACCCATACATGTCATATCATGGACCCCTTCCTCCAAAAGCAAATTTCAGCCAGGTTGCTGTCTTCTACTCCCACCCCATCTTTCCTGCAGCCCCTAGGGAGACAAGAGGAGAAATAGGACCATGGGGGGAAAATGGGGAGAGGAAACATAAGGAAAGTGTTAGCCTCAAGGATGGGCAAGGGAGAAGGAGAAAGGGCCTGTTCCCCTTGGTGCCCATTCTTGACCTCATCTGACTTCTGAGCCAGGCTTCCTATCAAGTAGACCCAGGGCAGAAGAAACTAATTAGCCAGGCTAAATTTAAGCCCCAAGAGCCAGATGATGAAGGTATGGGCTACCTCACAGCTGATTTTTCATTCCAAGCTGAATGGTCTCTTTAAAAAAGGCTCAAACCATGGTTCTTTTCCTTTGCGATACTTCTGTAGCAGCCCCCCATCTTGGGCCTCAACCCTGCCAGGCCGAGTAAGGCTGGTAGCTGGCCAGCCTGGAAGCTGGAGCGCATGGCAGAGGAAAGGGGATAGCATTTATTGATTTATTGAGTACATACTGTGTGCCAGGCACTGACTAAGTGCTTTGTATATCTTTTATTTTTCTTCCCAATAGCCCTGTGAACTGGTTTTGTTTTCCTTTATTTACAAATAAAGAAGCCGTGGCTCAGAGGGGTTAAATTACCTCTGGTCACAGGGCTAGTAAGTAGCAGAACTGAAGTTTGAACCCAACCAGGTTATGATACTAGAGGCCTGTTCTCTTTCTACTCTATAGCCCCCCACCCCTACACAGCTGCCAGCTGGTCTGAGTCCCAGCTCTCATGGCCCTGTTATTACCTCCCAGGTTA